CCTCCCTCCCTCCCTCCCTCCCTCCCTCCCTCCCTGCCTCCCTCCTTTCTTTTAAAAAATCATTATTTTATGTGTATGGGTGTTTTGTTTATATATATGTCTGTGTACTACATGATTGCCTGTTGCCCCTGAAGACCAGAAGGGGATGCTAGATACATTGGAACTGGGGTTACAGACAATAATAAGTTGCCATGTGGATTTGAGAAATTGAACCTGGGTCCTCCAGAAGAGTATCTGGTGTTCTTTACTGATGAACCATTTCTCCAACCAAACATACTAATCTTAACTTGCAGGGTTTGGACAATCCAGTACTGCTTTGCTATTACTTTATGCCTATGTATATTGTCCTTTTTTATATTATATATTAAACAGAATTAAGCTAAAAACCTTAAAGAGATTAAGACAGGGAAGAAATACCACATAGTATCATGCAAATTCAGTAGAAGTGTTTCTAACTAAAGAGGCTAGCAAAAGAGGCATGCAGTTTATTTATACACTGATGGTTAAGAATCATGCAGGAGACCAGCAAGGACAAGCAGTGGGAGGCCAAATGTGGCCTATTGCTGTCTTTGCCCTGTTTATATGCTAAGATTGGCTGTTTCCAATTTTAAATCGAAAGAAGTCAGAAAAAAGGATAATATGTTGACACATGAAATTTCATGAAATTTAAATTGCAACTTGCATAAATAAAAGTATAATTTTAAAAAATATTTGTTATGTGTGACACATGTGCATGTGGGCCCAAGTGCCATGACACACTTGTAAAGGTCAGAGGACAGCTTGCAAGAGTGTGTTCTTTCCTAGTACTGCATGGGTTTCAGGGATTAAACTCCCAGTATCTGGGTTGGCAGCACATGCCTTTTCTGCTGAGCTCTAGCTCTAGTTCCTGCCTGCCTCCACCTGTTTATATTCATGTCATCCACATCTATGTCTTGTGCTATAGAAACTGTAGTGTTGTGCATTTACAAAGAAATGAATGCCTCCAAGACGTAGTTACTCCCCCTTGCTCTTTAGGAGAGGCTCGCTCTTCATGAGAGCTCTTCTCTATTGCAGTGTCTCGCTCCTTCTGTCCTTTGACATGATATGACAGAGTGTTGTTTCTAGATGCCATGAGAGACTCACTGTGATAGTTTTTACTTTTGTCATTTGAGCATTACAGCTGATGGTGCTATTCTGTACTTTTTTAAAAGAAAATATCTAACATTCTATCTCTTTCTGCTGCTATGATAAAACACCATGACCAGAAGCAGTTTGGAGAGGAAAGGGTTTATTTCATCTTACAACTTTCAGGTCACACTCATTCATGGAGGGAGGTCAGGACAGAAACTCCCAGTGGAATCTGGAGAGAAGAACTGAAACAGAGGCAATGGAAGAGTGCGGATTACTGGCTTGCTTCTCATGACTTGCTCAGCTCATTTTTTTGTAGATCCCAGGGCCACCGTCCCAGGGATGGTATGGTCTGGGATCTCCCACATCAATGACTTATTAAAAGAATGCTCCAGTAGTTGCCCATAGGCCAGTCTTGGGAGGCATCTGTCAAGCTGACAAAAACCCCAACTTACTCGTTCTTGCACATTAAAGTATTTCTTAATTAGTTATAGAAATGATTTTTATGTTTTTAATTACAGTTCCTAAGAAACCAGAATCTACTGATGGTGAAGAAAAAATTGGAAATGAAGAGAGTGACTTAGAAGAAGCGTGTGTTTTGCCTCATAGTCCTATAAATGTAGACAAAAGACCCATTTCCATGAAGTCTCCCAAGGTGAAGTATGTTCTGTGATTCTTAGATTGTGTTACAGAAACACTACATACAAATGAATCTCTGGTACCATGCTATTGTACTGAGTACCTGTAGGGTAGTGAGTATGGTGTATTGTTATTACAAGTATGGTCCCAGACTGCTTAGTAAACTTGGCTGACAGTGTTCTGTCTAGTCACACTGCTGGAAAACTACTTCCTTTTGTTTTGGGCTCTGTATTTCATCTTTTTTTTCCTTTTCTTTTTTTGTCATTCATTCATTTTCCTATTTGCTTGAGAAATTATTGGTTCCTGAGGCTATTAATATTTTTAAAAGTAATATCTGTTACTTAATCAATTCAAAATATCAGTGACAGTTTCCAAGCTTGTGTTACAGTGTTCTGGGTTCTAGTCCTAATGAACAAATAACAGAACTATTTGTATCTTGTTTATATTCAAAGAACTTTTATAGTACATGGTAATAGGGTAAACTAATGGTTTATATTGTTCTTTTTTTTTTTTTAGGATAAATGGCAACCATTGTTGAATACAGTTACAGGGGTTCATAAATATAAATGGTTAAAGCAAAATGTGCAGGGCCTTTACCCACAGTCTGCACTCCTCAATACAATTGTTGAATTTGCCCTTAAAGAAGAGCCAGTAGATGTGGAAAAAATGCGGAAGTGCCTACTAAAACAGGTAAGACTTTCTGTGGCACGATTCTTTCACTGAGTCAGATAGAGCACTGAATATGAATGTTGCTGTTTTGCAGTTGGAGAGAGCAGAGGTTCGTCTGGAAGGAATAGATACAATTCTGAAACTGGCAGCCAAAAGTTTTTTACTTCCTTCTGTGCAGTATGCTATGTTTTGTGGATGGCAAAGACTTATTCCTGAAGGAATCGATATAGGGTAAAGCTTTATAAAATTTTTCTCAATATGGGAATTTTGACAGTGCAGTAATGTTCTTTTGAAGTTAAAAGTCTGGCAGTGTCCCGAGTCAAATTCTCTTTCTTTATTTGAAAGGGAACCACTTACAGACTGTTTGCGAGATGTGGATTTGATCCCACCATTTAATCGGATGTTGCTGGAAGTGACTTTTGGCAAGCTGTATGCTTGGGCAGTTCAGAATATTCGCTCTGTTCTGATGGATGCAAGTGCCAAGTTTAAAGAGCTGGGTGAGCTAAACAAAATGTGATAATTAAAATGCTCTATTTTAAAACTGATCTTATGGCAATGACTGTGATTGCAGTAGTGCTATATACTTGAATTATATATTGCTTAAATTTACAAGGAGGTTACTTATTGATTTAGAAGCTTGTTCATCAGATCAATAATCTTAGGTGCTTTTAGCCTTTTTTTTTTTTTTAAATAAGATTGAGAATGGAACTTTAAAAATTTGACAGAATAAATAATATCAAAATATTCTGAGAACTACATTTTTATGAGTGTTGTACCATATACTGTAGGTGCTAGTGTCCTAAACTAACTTCTAGATAATTTGAGTATATGTAGAGAAATAATAAGATTTGTTGTTTGGTAGTAAAGTGAAAGATGACCAAAGATGTTTAGAAAACGTCATATTACTGTTTTTAAACTTTAGAGTCTAATTTTATTGTCTAATATGGAGTGCCACACTTTGTGGTGCTCATCCCCAAACTTTTAAATTGATATTTGTTTGCAATTTTTTGTTGTTTCATTTTGTTTTTTGGATCTTACTATGAGTCGGGGTCTTACTATGTAGACTTTGCAGGCCTGGAACTCAGTATTTAGACCAGGTTGGCCTTCAACTCACAGAGGTCTAACTACAGTACGCTGGTGAAAATTGTACTAGAATTTATTACTGAGCTGACTTTTAATTTACTCTCTTTGTACTGTATATTGAAGACAGACAGCAGTGTGTGTAATGTAAATAATGGGATTATCACAAAATAAAATAGAACTACTCTAACCACATTACGTGGAAATTCAACTTTAAAAAATGATACAGAAATGAACAAGTAATTAATAACCAAACTCCAGTGTGTGTGTGATTGTGTGTATTGTACTCAAAAATAAGGAATTCAAATGAATGTCAATGTTTGTTAGGTATCCAGCCTGTTCCCCTACAAACCATTACCAATGAGAACCCGGCGGGACCGAGTCTGGGTACCATCCCACAAGCTCGATTTCTTCTGGTGATGCTCAGCATGCTCACCCTGCAGCATGGTGCAAACAACCTTGACCTCCTGCTCAACTCAGGCACTTTGGCACTCACACAGACAGCCCTAAGGCTGATCGGTAGGTTGGAATTGGCTTTGAGTCCTTTAGGAAAATGTGACTGGCTTTTTCTTCTTTAATAAAATATTGTAGTAAAGTACATATAACATAAAAGCAAGCCTTTTAAATGTGTTGAGTTTGTAACTGAAAAACATTAGGGACATTAATATTTTTTTCTTTATTTTTCTCTTTGATCTTGTTGCTTTGTTTTTTAAGATAGGATTTCACAATTTTTGTATCTATTCCTCTGTTGAAGAACATCTGGGTTCTTTCCAGCTTCTGGCTATTACAAATAAGGCCTGCTATGAACATAGTGGAGCATGTGTCCTTGTTATATGTTAGAGCATCTTCTAGGTATATGCCCAGGAGTGGTATAGCTGGGTCCTCAGGTAATGCTATGTCCAATTTTCTGAAGAACTGCCAGACTGATTTCCAGAGTGGTTGCACCATCTTGCAATCCCACCAACAATGGAGGAGTGTTCCTCTTTCTCCACATCCTTGCCAGCATCTACTGTCACCTGAGTTTTTGATCTTGGTCATCTTGACTAGTGTGAGGTGGAATCTCAGGGTTGTTTTGATTTGCATTTCCCTGATGACTGAGGATGCTGAACATTTCTTTAGGTGCTTCTCGGCCATTCAAATTTCTTCAGTTGAGAATTCGTTGTTTAGCTCTGTACCCCATTTTTTAATAGAGTTATTTGGTTGTCTGGAGTCTAATTTCTTGAGTTCTTTGTATATATTGGATATTAGTCCTCTATCAGATGTGGGATTGGTAAAGGTATTTTTCCAATCTGTTGGTTGCTGGTTTGTCCTATTGACAGTGTCCTTTGCCTTATAGAAAATTTGCAATTTTATGGGGTCCCATTTGTCAATTCTTAATCTTAGAGCATAAGCCATTGGTGTTCGGTTCAGGAACTTTTCCCCTGTGCCCAAGTATTTGACGTTCTTCCCCACCTTTTCTTCTATTAGTTTCAGTGTATCTGGTTTTATGTGAAGGTCCTTTATCCACTTGGACTTGAGCTTTGTACAGGGAGATAAGAATGGATCAATTTGCATTGTTCTACATGTTGTCCTCCAGTGGAACCAGCACCATTTGTTGAAAATGCTGTCCTTTTTCCACTGAACAGTTTTAGCTCCTTTGTCAAAGATCAAGTGACCATAGATGTGTGGGTTCATTTCTGGGTCTTCAATTCTATTCCATTGATCTTCTTGCCTGTCTCTGTACCAATACCATGCAGTTTTTATCACTGTTGCTTTGTAGTACAGGTTGAGGTCAGGGATAGTGATTCCTCCAGAAGTTCTTTTATTGTTGAGAATAGTTTTTGCTATCCTGGGTTTTTTGTTATTCCAAATGAATTTGAGAATTTCTCTTTCTAACTCTGTGAAGAATTGAGTTGGTATTTTAATGGGGATTATATTGAATCTGTTGATTGCTTTTGGCAAGATGGCCATTTTCACTGTATTAATCCTTCCAATCCATGAGCATGGGATGAGCATTTCTATCTTCTGAGGTCTTCTTTGATTTCTTTCTTCAGAGACTTGAAGTTCTTGTCATACAGATCTTTCGCTTGCTTGGTTAAATTCACACAAAGGTATTTTATATTATTTGTGACTGTTGTGAAGGGTGTCATTTCCCTAATTTCTTTCTCAGCCTGAAGTTGTGTATCAGTTTTAGGAGTTCTCTGGTAGAAGTTTCAGGGTCACTTAAATATACTATCATATCATCTGCAAATAGTGATATTTTGACATCTTCCTTTCCTATTTGTATTCCTTTAACTTCCTTTTGTTGTCTAATTGCTCTAGGTAGGACTTCCAGTACTATATTGAATAGGTAGAGAGAGAGTGGGCAGCCTTGTCTAGACCCTGATTTTAGTGGGATTGCTTCAAGTTTCTCTCCATTTAGTTTGATGTTGGCTACTGGTTTGCTGTATATTGCTTTTACTATGTTTAGGTATGAGCGTTGAATTCCTGATTTTTCCAAGACTTTTATCATGAAGGGATGTTGAATTTTATCAAATGTTTTCTCAGCATCTAGTGAGATGATCATGTGGTTTTTTTCTTTGAGTTTGTTTATATAGTGGATTACATTGATGGATTTCCAATATTGAACCATCCCTGCATTCCTGGTATAAAACCTACTTGATCATCATGGATGATTGTTTTGATGTGTTTTTTGATTCAGTTTACGAGTATTTTATTGAGTAATTTTGCATCGATATTCATAAGGGAGATTGGTCTGAAGTTCTCTTTCTTTGTTGGGGCTTTGTGTGGTTTAGGTATGAGCGTGATTGTGGCTTCATAGAACGAATTGGGTAGTATTCCTTCTGTTTCTATTTTGTGGAATAGTTAGAAGAGAATTGGTATTAGGTCTTTTTTGACGGTCTGATAGAATTCTGCACTAAAACCATCTGGTCCTGGGCTTTTTTTTTTTTGGTGGGTCGATTTTTAATGACTGCTGCTATTTCTTTAGGGGTTATGGGACTGTTTAGATGGTTTATCTGCTCCTCATTTAACTTTGGTACCTGGTATCTGTCTAGAGAATTGTCCATTTCATCCAGATTTTCCAGTTTTGTTGAGTATAAGCTTTTGTAGTAGGATCTGATGATTTCTTTGAATTTCTTCAGTTTCTATTGTTATGTCTTCTTTTTCAGTTCTAATTTTATTAATTTGGATACTGTCTCTGTGCCCTCTGGTTAGTCTGGCTAAGGGTTTATCAATCTCGTTGATTTTCTCAAAGAACCAGCTCTTGGTTTTGTTGATGCTTTGTATAGTTCTTTCTGTTTCTATTTGGTTGATTTCAGCCCTGAGTTTGATTATTTCCTGCTGTCTACTCCTCTTGGGTGTATTTGCTTCTTTTTGTTCTAGAGTTGTCAATTTGCTAGTGTATGCTCTCTCCAGTTTCTTTTTGTAGACACTTAGAGCTATGAGTTTTCCTCTTAGCACTGCTTTCATTGTGTTCCATAAGTTTTGGTATGACAAGCCTTCATTTTCATTAAATTCTAAAAAGTCTTTAATTTCTTTCTTTATTTCTTTTTTGACCAAGTCATCATTGAGTAGAGCTTTGTTCAGTTTCCACATGTATGAGTGCTTTCCATTTTATTTGTTATTATTGAAGACCAGCCTTAGTCCATGGTGATTTGATAGGATGCAAGGGATTATTTCAATCTTTTTGTATCTTTTGAGGCCTGCTTTGTGACCAATTATATGGTCTCTTTTGGAGAAGGTACCATGAGGTGCTGAGAAGAAGGTATATTCTTTTGTTTTAGGATGAAATGTTCTATAGATGTCTGTTAAGTCCATTTGGTTCTTAACTTCTGTTAATTCCACTATGTCTCTGTTTAGTTCTGTTTCCATGATCTGTCCATTACAAAATGGAGTATTACTCAGCTATTAAAAACAATGAATACCAGAAATTCTTAGGTAAATGGATGGAACTAGGAAATATCATCCTGAGTGAGGTAACCCAATCACAAAAGAACACACATGGTATTCACTCACTGATTATTGGATATTAGCCCAGGAGCTTGAAATCCCCAGGATTCCACTCACAGGCCACATGAAGCTCATGAAGAAGGAAGACCAAGTGGGAGTGCTTTGGTCTTTCTTAGAAGGAGTAACAAAATACTCCCGGGAGTAAATGTGGAGACAAAGTGTGGGACAGAAACTCAGAGACCATTCCTGGGTATCCATCCCATGTGCAGTCACCAAAGGTAGACGCTGATGTGGATGTCAGGAAATGCATGCTGACAGGAGCCTGATCTAGCTGTCTCCTTAGAAGTCTGCCAGAGTCTGACATTCAGAGGCGGATGCTCACAGCTAACCATTGAACTGATCAAAGGGTTCCCAATGGAGGAGTTAGAGAGAAGGAACTGAAGGAGCTGAAAGGGTTTGCGGCCCCATGAAGAGAGCAACAATACCAACCAGCCAGACCTCCCAGGGTCTAAACCACCAGCCTGGTAGCACATAGGGAGGGACTCATGGCTCCAGCTGTATATGTAGGGGAGGATGGCATTGTTGGGCAGAGGTGGGAGAGGAGATCCTTGGTCCCATGAAGGCTGGACACCTAGTGTGGGGGAATTCGAGGGTGGGGAGGTGGGAGTTGGGGGGTAGGTGGGGGCACATCCTCATAGAAGCAGGAAGAAGGGGCTGGGTGGGATAGGGGGTTCCTGGGGGGAAAATGTGGTAAGGGGATAACATCTGAAATATAAATAATAATAATAAATAATAATAATAATAATAATAACAAAGACAGGATTTCACTACCCTTGGTTAGCTTGGCACTCACTATGGAGCCTAGGCTGACCTTGACGTTAAAGAGATCCACCTGCCTTTGCCTCCAGAGTGTTGTGTTTAAAGGTTTGGGCCACCATGCCCATCAGGGACATTCACATTTTGAGTAGCTGTTAATGCTATCTTGTTTCAGAAAATTTTCATAAACACAAATCCAAGTCTGTGTCCATTTATCAGTCACTATTGTCATCATGTCCCAGGTAACCAAATATCAGCTTTCTGCTTCAATCGATTTACATTTTTGAGTATTTCATGTAAGTACAGTATGCAGTTTGTAGGCTTTTATATTTGAGTTTTAGTATATGCTAGTACTTCATTCTTTTTATGACTAAAAATGTTATTATTTGTTTATTTGACATTATACACTGGTGGACAGATGGATTGTTTTACCATTTACTTTAGTGAGTAGTTTTGTTAAGGATATTTGTATATAAATTCTTGAGTACCTGTTTTTAGCTTATAAAAGAGTAGACTCCTGAGGTCTGTGATGCAGGTAATGATAGTGGTAGTGCAGGTGGATACTGCATTTTGGTTGTCATCTACTGGTGTTTCCAGATTGCACTGGAACAAGAATCAGAGTAGAAACATTCAGATGAGAGAAACCAAACTGTGTATTAAGGAAGAAAGTATTTCTGAGCTAAAATGTTCACTAGTGAGCTGTACTATGTGGGGAATGTAAGAGTATGAGTGACACCCGTACTGCACAGATTGGATAGTCTCATGGTGTACAG